TGAGGAATGGTTTCCCTGGCTGCATCTGCTGCCCTGCTCTCCACTCCCTGTGTTTTGGCTCCTGCCCACTGTGCCACACAGACCCTGCCCTCACTGAGGTGGCCGTGGCCTCTGCTGCCTGTGCTGTGCAGTCCTTTGGCTTCCACGGCTGAACCGTGCTTTGCATTTGACGGAGAGGCAGGCTCACTCTAGGGTCTTGGAGTGCCACTCTCTCTGGCTCTCCATCTTCCTCGTCCTCATCCTCCTTTTCCTCCTCGTCCTCATCCTACTTTTCCTCCTCCTCCTCCTCCTCCTGCCCTGCTTTGAGGTCCCCTGCTGGCCCTGCAGACTTGGGCACCTCCTGGGCTCCTCCCAGCGCTATCCTCTTCTGCCTCCTCCCTGTGTCTTTCGGAGTGAGCCTCCATCTCCGGACACCTCCTCTGTGCCAGAAGTGCCAGCCCCGCTGCTGCCCTGAGCTCCAGCCCTGTGCTTCTAGCTGGGTCGTCCTGGAGCACTCCCTCCGGGTGAGCACAGGCGTCTCGCACTCCGCAAGCCAGTGCACTCCCTTTCCCCAAGTGCCTCCTTCTCCTCTGTGTCCCCTGTACTGGGGTGCCACTACCTGGTTCCCCACCTCCTACTTACCTAGGAACCACCTCCAGAGTTGGCAGAAGTTGGGAGACTAAGAAGGGCAGACGGGGACAAAGTGGAGGAGAGTGAAAAGAACACAGGCTTTACAGTTAAAAAACAAAACAAAACAAAAAAACCTGTGTTTGAATTATTTGAACGTTCACTCTGCTCTGTATTGGGCAGGTGGCTTCACCCCCTATACTCAGTTTGGTCACATATAAAATGAATTCTTTACATATCGATATCTATATCTGTCTATGTGTACCCTACGGGGTGATTGTGAGGCTTGAGGAAAAGACATGTAAAAGATGTAGAAGGTCTGTGTGTCTGGCAGGCATGTGTTAGGTACCAGCAGTGATGATGTGGCTGCAGAGGTTGGTAGCATCACTCAGATCCCTTCCTCCTGCACTGCCCAGGGCCAGCGAGTGGCAATGACTCCATTAACTGTATCACCTCTAGACTGATTTGCTCATTGGACGGATAATTGTTAAGGGTCTGTATTGTCTGTCAGGGCATTTGTCTTTTTTATTGACTAGGGGTGGTCTTTGTGTCTTCCGGGTAGTAATTCTTGGTAATATATGCAGCCGACAGTTTTCCCCAGTCTGTTGCTTGTCTTTTAACTTTGGAATTTTTGTTGACAGAGAAGCATTAAATTTTAATATGGTCAAATGTATCCCTCTTCTCCTTCTGCCCTGTCTATGTTTGTTTAAGAAATCCTTCCTTAATTATATATTTCTCTAAAAGTTTTAGAAGAATTCTGTATCAGTTTACAAAACTGATGATGTCGTTTGCCCAACCCACACACATGCTTCGTGTCACGCTCAGGGAGAATCCCCCCGGACCCCTGTGTGGCCCCAGCCTGCTCCGTGAGCTTGACCTCCAGCCACATGGAAGGCTCACTGCTTCCTGAATGCGGTGGGCTTTTCCGAGTCCCAGGCTCTTGCCTCTTCCTGGACTGCCCTCCCCCATATCCTTTCCCGTAAACTGCCGTCACCCTAAAGACTCTGCCTGATCATGACTTCCTGCAGGGCCCTCAGGCCCTCCTGTCCACTACACTGCTCTTGCCATACTGGCTTCCTCACCAACCTCTCAACCCTTAAAGGCAGAGACCACGTCTGTTCACCTTTGTCCCTCCCAGCACAGCCCCTGATGAAGAGAAGGTTCTCACAATTGTTTTTTAAATTACTTGAATGAATGACATTCCTAATGGAAAATGACATCGTTTTGATGGATGACTTAACATGCCGGGAAAACAGACCCACAAGTGAACTAGATTGGTGAGCAAAACGCCAGGTAGCAGTGGCTCTTTCTTAGGACCTTACTATGCGCCATACGTTCCAATCCAAGCGCTTTACACAGAGCGGACCCTTGGATCCTCAGAACACCATGAGGTAGAGACTGTTATTATCTTGATTTCCAGAAAAGGAATTGAAGCCAGAAGTTAAAGCACACACCTGGTGTGGTGAGCAGGCATTTGAATGCAGACAATCTGGCTCCATGGCCTACCCTCTAAACTACCGTGCCCAGCTGCCTAGAATACAGAATGAAAATATCCAGTACATCCTTGACTGTGGCATGAGGTAGTTCCATCAGGGAGAGGGGCGTGGGAAATGAAGTTTAGGGTTAAGGGCAAAGGAGAAAGGCCGTCAGAGCCAGCGGCCACTGGAGCCCTGTATCCAACCCAACAGGGCAAACAGAGAAGGAGGTGTCTGCTAATCACTCCAGAAAAAAACCCTTGGAGAAAATGGAGTTTCCTGAAGCTGTCTGGATAGCAGTAGAGAAGCATCTGGAAGGGCAGAGCCTTCCTCTCCCTGGCGTGTGGGACAACTCTTGGCATATCAACTGTGAAAGGGAGGGATGTTTTAAGAGATGTCCCCAGGCATGCCCTAGGGTATGGGGACAAATGAGGCAGTTGACCTAGGATCCCTGAGGGGAAGCCGCAGAGCCCAGGAAAGGACCTTGGAATTTACCTACAGGATGTGGGGCCCTGGAGGCTAGAGTGGCATGGCCAGGGGTGGAGGGTGGTGGGGGCAGCGTCGGGGGGTGGGGAAGGATACTGGAGACAGTTCTGATAGGGACTTGGGGAGACCCGAAGAGGCTGAAGGTGGGTTAGTCAGCAAACGTGGTGGCCAAAGGCTGAAATAAAGAGAGAAAGGAAGGTGGTTATATGAAGGTGTATGTGCGTGCACGTGTGTGTGCGCGCGTGTGTGTGTCTTACGTGGGTACACTTGGCAATTGATCCAGAATATGGAGAAATGACAGAGAGGACTCTGACTTTTATTCAGCAAATAATTATCAAGTGAGGCTCTGAATTTAAACTGCTCCTTTAAGTATCACCCTGAATAGGATAATGACTAGAAGCTATTATAATGGGTTGAGCTAGAATAAAATTATATCTGAATGGTGGACATTTCTGATTTAAACTGAGTGAACTCTGTTGGTGCTATTACAGGAATTTTGCCCTCGGAGTGCACTTATTAAGATCAGCCAAAATAAGTATGCGGTCTCTTGCTCTCATATAAAGTCACCTCCAGTTCCTGAGGATACAGAAGTGTAAGTGTACTCAACTTTTATCTCTTGAATATTAATTTATGTCCTTGCACCTTTAATCTGTTTTTGAGAAGAGATCCATGACCTCTAAATACTAGGGAAGAAAAGCAGAGATGGAGAATATCCTACTTAAAATGTAGCTCTGTGATTATTATCCCTTCAACGTCACACCTTTCACCCACTGTGTATTCATCCATCTGCTTCTCATCTCAAATTCAACATGATTTGACCCTTCAGAAAAGCATTCATGAATATGTCATGAATATGAAAGAATGGTTCCCCTTTTATTTGTAAAGATTCAAGGCCTTCTAATTAAGTTGCATTTGGGTCCAGTCACCTACCTGCCTCTCCCCTTGCTGGGAGGTGGGAGCAAGGGGCTGACCCTGGCTTGCCTGTAGCCAGGTCAGGGTGTTGGGGGGCGTGGCTTCCAGGGGCTGCAGTGGAGTCAACACATTTTCAGCTGAGGCAGCGGGATTGCTAAGAGCTGTAAAGGTAGACTAAAGGTAGCCAAGGCAAAAGGAAAGGGGGAGGCCTGCAGAGCAAACACAAACTCAAGTCCATGGGGCCAATGAGGGGCATCAGAATTGGGGTCATGGAGCCATGACCTTGGAGTCAAGGCCATACAAAAAGAGATGAAGATGGATGTTGAGCTAGTGTTGGGGAAAAGGACCCAGGAAACATCTTCCAGTTTCTCTTAGAGCTTGCAGGCTGTCTTTGGGTGCTAACCTTCATTCTCCCGATGGCCTTACCTTCTACTTCGTCATAGAACCATCAGACATCCTCTCCCTCCACATCTGATCTCCCACCTCTGGGCTTATGGAAGTCTCTGCCTTTGCCCCTGATGTCAAAGAATCAGTGTCCTTCCTTTCACCCCAGGCCGATCTGTCCACTGGGCTCCAGAGGCCCATCCTCCACTACCTCGGGTCCTGGATCCATCAGGTATCCCTGGATTCTTCTCACCTCTCAGCTCCTCTTCACTGAGCCCTTCACCTCAGCAAGTACACAGGTAGACCTCCTGTTCACACACACGCAGCACCCACAAACACACACACTCCTGAATAACTACCACTCCCTTGGTTCCGCAGTATGATCCAGCACGCTCCCTGCCCTTCACTGCCAGTCTCCATGCACCATCGGATAGACTCAATGTCCCCACTCTCCTGCCTCCTCTTCACTCCTGAGCCTTGGGTATTGGCATCCACCCTTACCCTCCAAGAAACTCCTTCCACAGAGGCCACACGGGACCTCTCATGAGCCTGAACCAGTGAGCTCCGCCCTCACTGACTGAGTCTGCTCCTGCAGTCGCTTTGGACACCACCAGCCCCTCCTTCTGCCCCAGCCCCTCCTCTTGAGGCTTGTTGCTGCTCCACCTCGCTGGGTTTTCTGACTTCACTGCCACCCACTGCCTTCATGACTCCCTTTGCGCTAAGGACCCCATGTCTCCTTCTCCAACCCAGCCTGCTCTCCTGTGCTTGTGCGTCACAGTCAGACTCTGAGAGTGGGCCTGGAGGTGGGTTTTCTGAAAGCCCCTAGCTGGTTGCAAGGTGCAGCCATGGCGGGCAACTAGAGGGGGAAGCGCATTGGACCCAAGACTGGGTTTCTATCCCAGCCCTGCCCTCATTAGTTTTGTGGTTGCTCGTTGACCGTGAGCTCGTCTGCAGGATTACGGTGGTGTGAAGATTTGGGGATGGTCATTGTCTGGCAGGTGTTAGCACATTTCCAACCACCCACTGGATATTTCCACCTGAGTGTACAGAATCTCAAAAATTCAGCACATCTGAAACTGAAATCACAGTTCCCCACAAACCTGCTCCATCTCGGGCTTCCCCATCTCAGTTCACCCTTTCACCCACAAGTCACGGAGCTGTCCAGGCAGAAATCTGGTGGTCATCTTTGGCTGCTGCTTGTCCCTCACCTACCACACCCCCTCGGTCTCCAGGTTACAGGGATCCTAACTGGCCAGGAGTCCTCATGTCCTCCGGCCTTTTCCTGCCACAGTCCCAGTCACTCACCATAAGGGCTGAGCAGAATCATCTTCCTCACATGCAAATCTGCCTGTGTCCCTTCCCCCACTTAAAAATCCTTCAGAGCCCCATCCCCATCACCCCTTCTTATCTCAGCTTAGCTTCTTGTTGGTCTGGCCCAGACCTGCCTACCTTACCTCATTTTTCCCTAGCCACTCCCAGCTAACCCGCCAATGCCTTCTACATACTAACCACATTAAGCTACATGTAGGTTTTGCCCACACCATGCTTTCTCAGGTCTCTGTGACTTCACCAGAATAAGTATTCTCCCTGGAAAGCTATTCCTTGCCCTTGGCCACCTGAGGAACTCCAAGACTGAGCTCAAACATCAGCACCACCATGCGATGTCCCAGCACCCCAGCACCCCCAGGGAGTGAGGTGGTCCCACTGCAGTCTGTAGAGGCTTCCATTAAAGAAAATTTCCTTTGCACTGGACTCTGCAGGCACAAGTCCTCGAAGGTAGGGGACAGGCTCTATCTGCCTCTGAATCCCTGTTGCCAGAGACCAGCTCACAGAATGCCCCCAAAACTATCTGAAGAACAAATCAGTATATACAGACACATGCTAGCAGATGCCCAGCAGTGCTCCTCAGGGGGTGTGCGGCTCCACAGAGAGCCTTTCCTTAGCTATGATTATCGAAAACATGTGCTGCAATTCTCCATTCTTTGTCTAGATGGGTTGATACTTCATTTAAAATAGCAGGACATTTTCTGTTCATCTCAAACTTCTACCCCAACAATGGTCCCTGTGGGTCTTGCTTCTCGTTCCTATGATGTCCAAATCATAGCTCCTTGTGAAGGAATATGAGCTGATGTATCTAAGTATTACCCATTTTCACCAAACTCAATGTTATCAACCATTATTTTAGAATGAAAATGCAAATCTTTGTATGTCGAGAAAAGCCTTTGTTTTCTATCTTCCCCAGGCCTTACTTAAAGCTCTTCACTGTGAATTATCTACTTTTGCTTCTGGGCTTCACACGGCGGAAGTCTTCATTGACTCCCTCATCCCCCATTGCAATTTCCACTCTTTTTTGTTTTGGTGCCTCTGTGGGAGCAAGAGACTAGTTTAATTCTCATAAGCAGAGTTCACATTCAACCTACTAAGTTCAGAGCTTAACCTGTCTCTGTTTCTATCATCAGGGCTAGCAGAAGCGAGTACAAACATAAAGGTGTAGGTCTGATTTTGTATCTGTGCTGGGATTTCCTTCTGGTAGGTCCTTTCCTCAGGAGCTCTTTCTCACTTACTTTACAAATGTGTTCCTTAGGGAGCGTTCACACCATTATTCTTGTTAGAAATGCTTGTTCCCTGGTGCTGTAAAGAAATAGCACTTGAACATAATTTAATTTCTTCAGCAAGGCCATTTTTACTTTCTGCAGAAAGGGTACACTCGCCAGCAGTTTTGCCATGAGAGTACACTGAACAAAGGAGCAGGGTCATTTATAACCTGATGCATCCACCCTACTGCTATGTCCGGTTTCCATTGGCTGGAACGGGGCCTCACATTCTGTATTTGTCCCGATTGGCTAACAACTTAGAACTTTTTTTTTTTTTTTGAGACAGAGTCTTGCTCAGTCGCCCAGGCTGGAGTACAGTGGTGCCATCTGGGCTCACTGCAAGCTCCGCCCCCCGGGGTTCACGCCATTCTCCTGCCTCAGCCCCCCGAGTAGCTGGGACTACAGGCACCGCCACCACGCCCGGCTAATGTTTTTTTTGTATTTTTAGTAGAGATGGGGTTTCACGGTGTTAGCCAGGATGGTCTCGATCTCCTGACCTCGTGATCCGCCTGTCTTGGCCTCCCAAAGTGCTGGGATTACAGGCGTGAGCCACCGCACCCGGCCTGAACTTTTTAAAAGAGGCAAAGGCAGAGGAGAACAAAGGAAGGAGGAAGTAATTTGTGGAATGCTGAGAAAGGTAAAAACACCTTCAGATAAGGAAGAGGAACAGGCTATGACCTAATGCTGACTTGGACCAGTATATATATCTATAGATATAGATATATATATGCCAGGGCAAGTATTTAGGCTACATTGTGGGAGCTAAGAACATAAAGTACGTGGATATCTTTATTACAGCCAGCAGATGTTTAAGAATGTTAGCACAGGTCTTTGAATACATTTTGCTTCTAAGAGAAGTTACTATTTATTCCTAATTAGATGGGGAGGAAAGTCTTTGGAGAGGAACCTCTACTTTACTTTTTACGTTCCAAATGAGGCCATCTAAAAAAATCCTGATGCTTTCTTCACAGGCTGTTAAAGACATGTACTGTAGGTTACATCTCCAACAGAACATTATTTGACTAAATTTAATTTTTAAATACCGAATTTACTGTAACTATCTGCTTGCAGGGTAAGACAAGGGATACCTGGGCCCAAACAGCCTCCATCTTCCCCACATCCTCCTTTCCTTCCTTCCGGGGGCCTTTCCTGCAGGTCTCTCTTCTGGCTTCTGAGTGAGGACAGTGCACAGTGAAAGGCAGAAAGAAAGGCATTTGGAGGCTGAAGGGCTCAAAACTATTGAACACGGCAAAAGCTGATGCACATTTTCATTTTCAACTTAAAATTTGACACCTAAATGATTCTTAAAGACTTTTTCTAAAAAACAAGGTTGGCTTATAAAATATGTTATCAATATTGCTAAATTCCAGACTACTCATTCCTCAAGGAGCGGATGCTGGTACTGCCATATTTGCCATGTGAAACCAGCAAGGCGGGTGCAGACTGATTGTCTCTTTCCCTTGCAGCATGACGACAGCATTCTCTGACACACAGCTGAGAGGCGTGTCTTTCAAGACAATGTGTCCGACGGAGCGAAATGACTGCCCTGCCCTTCCCTTCCCTTCCTTTCCCTTCCCCTCCCTTCCCTTCCCTTCCCTTCCCTTCCAGAGCTTCCCTGAGCTTTCTGCTACATTCCATGGCATCAGAGATGTCTTTTCTGAGGGAGAATAGTCCTTATCCTGTCTATAACTTCCTTCATTTGAGAACACACGTGTAGTTTCTCCCATGTGGTCCTTCTCAATAACTACAAGAAGCAGGCAGAACAGGGGGATTTTCCTCCATCTGGCATCCTCTCGCCTTGCCAGGGCAGGGGACTCACAGACCAAGCCCTTCCCTGGCTGCCTCCCCTGTCGTCCGTTCCCATCAGACGGCTGTGGCCTCTGGCCGGGGCAGGGGGAGGTACCTGGTGGGTCTGATGCTCCAGCTGCTGGTGTTCTCCAGTGGAGAAGAGGTGCCTGTAGCAGGCGTTACTCAACCACCCACAGGCTGGGGTTTCAGGCTGCCTGAACTGAACGCACACAGCTGGTGCCACGTAACTAGCTAGAACTCTCTCCCAGATGAGCTGGAATCCTTCCTCCCCTCACCGTTAACAGAGCGTGGCTTGGGCAAATTACCTTCAAGACTCCTCCTTAAGAAGACTCTTGTCTGGGCGCGGTGGCTCATGCCTGTAACCCCAGCACTTTGGGAGGCCAAGGTGGGCAGATCATTTGAGATCAGGAGTTCGAGACCAGCCTGGCCAACATGGTGAAACCCCGCCTCTACTAAAAATACAAAAATTAGCCAGGCATGGTGGTGGGCACCCTTAATCCCAACTACTCAGGAGGCTGAGAGGAGAATCACTTGAATCCAGGAGCTGGAGCTTGCGGTGAACCGAGACCACACCACTGCACTCCAGCCTGGGCGACAGAGCAAGACTATATCAAAAAAAAAAAAAAAAAAAGTCTCTTTAGAGAGAGTATGATTTATTTTTTAAAAAATAATAATAACATTCCAAATGTGATACCAGGAAAGCAAAATAGGACTCAGCATTTCCTCTGTGCTCCAGTGAAACCGTCAGGCATCTGGAGGAAGCTGTTGGGTTCTGGGGCCCTGGAGGTGAGGCGTGTTCTTCTCTTGCTGCTTGAGGGTCATTGTGTGGTCTTGGGGACGTGGCTGTGTATGAGTTGGCAGGAGGAGAGACCCTCCCAGGGCCAGGTGGGGTTTGTCTGGATCTCTGGTCAACCCCTGTTCCCCCCAGTTCCTGTTACACAAAGTATTAGCCTCTCATTATCTCTCTTTTGAGTGGTTGAGTAACTTTCCATGAAGCCATTGGATTTGGGAATATGTCCCATTGGAAACAATACAGTCCGCAGTGTTTAACGCTCCTCCCTTGACCCCGTGCAGTGTTGTGGACTCACATTGTCTCCTGACGTCAGTGAAATTAAGTCATTGATTGAAACGTCAAGATTCAGCACTGCCTCTGACATTACATTAGATGAATCACTGCCCTTAATCTCGCCTGGTCACTCCTGACGATTTTCTCCTAAGAGGCGTCTGTGCATTTGAAATCATTAGGCCTCTGTATGTCATTAGCTCCCTCCGTCCCCTCCGGTTGGAGTAGAAGCCCCATTTCTTACGCTGGAACAAAGCGCTGAAAAACGTGCAGTTCAGCAACAAACCCTGTCTGTGAGTGTCCTATGTAATTCAGAAGGACACATGCCACTGCTTACATTCAGGAGGCATGTGGTGGTGCCCTAGGACATAGGACAAGGGGACACAAGGAGACACAGAGATTTGCCAGCCTTCAGGGCCAGCGGTAGCAATTCAGATAGCAACAGCCTTTGCTTATCCAGCTCTTCATTCTCCGCCCCTTCAGCGGTCGAAAGCTCCCCATCGGTCTTCATCAAACATCTGCTGGTGCCTGCTCCATGGGTCCTCTTGTTCTTTATGTTCTAAGACAGCCTTGCTGAGAGAGAGACACTGAGGGCAGAATACAGACGAGACCTCAGGGATCCAGCAGGATTACTGACAAGCTGCCAATGCTTCATCCAGCGAAGGGGGTGGGTTCTGACCCCAGGAGGGCATGGAGTGGACACTCCGCACTTTCTTCCCAGAAGTGGAACCAGCACAGCGCCTGGCTGCCCTGCTCTGAACAGGCGCACATATTTATTGTAGGTTGATCATGTTATTCAACCAGATCTGTAGCCTAACATAATTAATAGAGCACTTAATTGAACTCTGTTTGGGCATGAGATTGGGGAAAAGAAAGCCACTCAGTGGGTCTTTTCTAGGAGTGCTGGTGGAGAACGCCGCTGGCTGGAGTTCAGGACCCTGGCGGCCCTCCCCCTTCCACTGAGTGGGGTCAGGTAGGAGAGGGAGGTGTGTGAGCACGGGGGTGGGGTTGAGGCCTTCACATCAGATTCACACCCACCCTGCCTCCTGCTCCCACCCCTCCCATAAGGAGACACTTCCTTGTGAAAGATCTTGAGCTTGGCTGACCACAGCCGTCCTGGAGTGTGAAATACAGAAGCCAAGCGGTATTTGCTTTAAGACTTTTATCAAAACTCCTGCCTGCTTTTTGTACTAATCGTGATGACTTGTGCTGCTTTATTCTTATTCCAAAAGTAATGCAGAGTTAGTAACATTTCTAAATTAAAAACAAGCAGAAATAATACAAAAACCACCCATAGTGCCACATTTCGAAAGTAACCACCATTTTTACCTTGTTATAGGTCCTTCTACAGTGTCTTCCCCACTGTGGTGATTCTTATTTCACCATAAGCTCATATCAGCTTATATCAAAAGGCTGTATTTTTTTCTCTTTATCATGTATGACAATTGCAAACTTTTTTTAATGTCAAGAAAGTGACAGCTCTACTGGAATTCATTTTCCAAGGGTGACCGTGAACAGTTTAATACAAGGGCTCCGGTCATCCTTACGGAGTCACAATTTTCATAACAAAAATGAAGATGTAATATGCATTCTGTTGTGTGACATGTTTTCCACTTAACAATATGTCATTTGCACCTTTCCATGACAGTGACACCTCTTGTTTCATTTGTGCCTCACTAGAATTCCATTATTCAGGTGGCTGGTGAGTTGAGTGACCAGTGCCCTAGGTGAGGGCTGTCCACATGCTGCTCCTGGGTCTCTCTTGTTCTTCTTCCCAGAGTCCTCCAGGCGAGTGGGTAGGCGTCTCCCTACCTTGTTCTTTCCATGCCTTTAGTGCCTGAAAATCTCTCCACTTCTCACATCCCCTTCTTGTCGCTCCTCTTTCTGAGAGATCATAGCTTAGGGACTGAACTGTAATCATGGATAGTAATTCATGGCAAATAGAGAAAAAATGTGGAAAAAGAAACAGAATGTATCAACTTATTCTGCTCTGGAGAGCGGTAGCAATTTGAGGGATAGCTGAGGGTAATGTGATGGATAAGATTTTAGACTTCACAGAACAGGGGCGGTAAATGCAACCTTGAAACATGATTCCTAGAAGTCTCTCAGAACCTGCTATCACAGAACCTATACATCCACACAAGCGCTGGCCTCAGATTTAAAGATGATTTTTGTCTGTGGCCTCCCAGAAAGGCTTTTCTCAATGTCACTGCTATCGCCCAGGCCAATGTTTTCATCTCTCTTGGGAATTCTCTCCTGAGTCTTTGAGCCAGTCTTTGAAAATTATCATGTGTGATGAATCTTGATTCTTTCACAAGGGATTTGAATGATGGCGTTTTCTATTTGGAAATAACAAAAGCTCTCTTTCCACTTTATTGTTTTGTTTTTTCCCTGACAATTTCCAGAAGGATCCAAAGCAGTAATAGAAGTTATGCGGAGTAAAAACAAAACAAAAAATTATTTAGATTGAAGGCAGGGTGATCAAGATAGCTGATACTGATTACGGGAACAAAATAAGGTTTAACACTAGGCGGCGGGTGTCCTTAACTTACCCTGAAGGCCCTGAAAAAAGGTGAGCTCCCAAAACCGTGAGCCACGGAGGCATGGCTGGAATGAGGTCATGGTGTTGCCAAGGCGCTACCTTTGAAGGACAGCACTTCTGGGTAAAGAAGCTTTGTCAGCGCATTTTCTAATAGTAATCTAGCTCAGTGACTTCATAGTCATTCCGAAGTTCAGTGTCATTACAAATCATACCATTTTGGACATTTGGGGAAATGTTTCCGATAGTACACCTTGGAGTCATTAGAGAAACTCAGGGTGTGAAAGAATATCTCTGATGTACAAGCTTCAGTTCAGGGATGAACTGGGCTGTGATGGGGCCAAGCTCATCTCCCTGGGGCGGACACAGGTCTATGCTGAGGCGTTTCCAGGGGCTTCTGGGCTGGGAGTTGTTCCTTCACTGGCTTGGTCAGGACGGGTCCGTATATTCAAGTTCTCCATGCGGTGGGAGGCTCCCAGACACCAAAGGCTCGTGGAAATGAACTGAGCGGCACTAAGCCCAGCCTAAAGCATTGGGTGCACAGTGCTCCAGAGACTCCTTCCCAGAGGAGCTGAGAAGCAGCCATGGGGATGGCTTGGACATCTCTGTAGATCCCGCAGCCACCAAGACAGGGTAACCCCGATCTCTCTCTGTCTCTAGAGAGGACGTGGAGACGAGGAACTCTGCTTTCCTTTTCTGGCCACTAAAAGAAGCGGACACGCAGGATTCCGGAGAGCCAAGACCCGAGAAGCCCAGGGGGAAAAAGAGGCCCGCCAAGCAGCCTCCTCTCCAGCAGGCGGCGCCCTCGGACTCGGACGGCTCCTCCCACGGCACCAGCTCCCACGGGTCCCGCCCTGGGACACACCCCGAGCCCGAGGTTTGGGTGATGGGGGGGAACACCCTGAAACCCCTTTCAAGAATGGCGCACCTAACACCATCCTCCAGCTTCTGGGCCTGTTTAGGCTCCAGTGCAGCAAAGACCCTACCTACATCCTTAAGTAATGGCGACCTCCGCTTCCCCAGACAGCCCAGCTCCGCCTCCCCGCGGCCGGGCGGCGAGGCCTCCACAGCCGCGCCATCATGGCCGCGCCTGCACCTGGAGCAGCCCTGCCCGGAACCCTCCGAGCCACCCACAGCAGCCAAGGGCTGAGGAGCGCCCCGGAGACACCTTGAGGCCGTCTGGTGGCAGCGGCGTTTAAGAGACCAGCGCTCTTCCAGGCTGCTCAGCCCTCAGCCCTGACGCTGGAGCCGGCCCCTCCGCTGAGGTAAGGCCGCCCTCCGCGCCGCGCGCGCCTGCCCCGTCTGTGGTAAACTCCTCTCCCCTCTGTCCCTGCTGCCTCCCCTGCCCGCTTGACCACGCTGGTTCTGACTTTTTCTGACCGTTCTTTATCCTGTCTTGCGCCGGTACTCACAAAATTGTATTCCATCTTCTGGTAGACGCCCCACCCCCAGACGTTTTAACCTGTAAGGTGGCTGTCACAGGACTTTCAAATTGTTTACAAGTCAGCGTAGTCAGGATCCAAGCCGGCAATCTTGTTTTAAATTAATTATCACGTCTAAATTAGAGATTTTGTCACCCAGTGTTGGGACTGAAATTCAGACCCGGTAACTTGTCTGAGATCTGCAAGACCGAACATCCCCTGCTGTATTGTTTCCTGACATTTTCATTGAGCCTTTCCTAATTATTTTTGTCTGTAGTCTGTTGTAGGTAACTCTAACTGAGCACGAAACCAGAATAAAAACTCTTACACTGGAAACATTTCAAAACCATTGGATTGTTGGATTGTTTATTTGTTACCATTTTTCTCTGAACACATTTTAGCAACGACATATGAAAGTATTCAGTTGTGTTTACTAACTTCAAAAATGAAATCGCTCCATCAAATTACCTTTTGCTAGTCAGTAAGATCCCTGAGGCTAGATGAAAACAGAGCACAGGTCATCATTAGGGAAAATATTGGATGCTTTTTGCAAATAGAACAGATAGGGCAGAGTTCTGATACTCTAAAAATCTACAATCCAATTAAAAGTGGCATTCACATTCCTGAAAGCTAGGAGTAGCCAGGGTTATGGTGAAGAAATTAAAGGACTAATCCACTTCTAAAAATATGAAAAAAAAATAAGGGACATTCGCTCAGCATCAGGCTAAAAACAATAATGCAGTGAGGAAGGAACTGAAGAGTGAGGGAACTGTTTGAAACAAGGTAAGGAACAGTGCTTGTGGGAGGCAGCATGCGTCCTAGAACTCAGACATTCCCTCCCAGCAGGAAGGCTCTGGAGCAGTCTCCGCTAATGAGAGTTGTGTCCTGGAAGGAAGGAAGGGTATGAGGGTCTGAAAGAAGCGAGGTCTGAAGGAAGCAAGGTGTCTGGTCTGGAGAACTAGTGGACCAGTTTAGAAACCCACCCAGTCATAGGCATTGGTTCATTTATTCATGCAAGCATGCACGTGAGCCTGCGTACATTCATTCAATTATTCAACAAGCAATTGAGTGCTGACAGCCTGCCAGGCTCCAGAGAGATTCCAGCAGACACTTGGAAGGTGGTCATCTTCCCTCTGTACCCATCTCACTCTCCTCATCTCCACTCTTATTGGAACAATCACTGGTGTCTGGTGGTGGGGTATGAGCAGAGACAAATGACTACAGGGCAAATATATACAATACTAGTTGCATTGGTGTTACATTGCAGTGCACGAGGCCATCACTTGATGTGTTCAATGATAGTGCCTACTTCAGTGTAATGGAGGAAGTTGCAATTACAACGGTGAACTTCCACCTCCAACCAATACAGAATGGCAGCAACTAGATTTACACTCCCACCAAAACAACTAACACACCTGCTAAGATGTATGTAACAACAGTTTCCAAAACATTGGCCGTCAGGTGATAAGGACGGTGCTCATAGACAAATGTGATGAGCCCTGTGCACGTCCCAGTTGCTTCCTGGAGACATTTCCAGGTTGCAGCATAGGGAGAGGGAACCCAAACACAGCCTGGCAGCCTCTGTGAGATGAGGGGATGGACATGGAATTCTGAGGAGCCCAAGGCAGCTGGAGTTTACCAGGGTCAGGGCTGGTGAGCAGAGAGCTGCAGAGAGAAAGCTCACTGGAGACCTGCAAAGTGGCCCTGTTGAGTCTTCAGCTAATAAGTGCATGGCTGTGAGGAAATTACTGAAGACCAGAGAAAGGACTACTCAAAATGATTACAAGGGACAATTCCTACGGTTTACACAGGGCTGGGAATATCTCCTGTTTCCTTCAGCCAAAGTGGGAAATATTATTCATGGGGCATCGGATAAAGTATTCAGGAGTTTGTCTCAATAGTGGATCAAAACTGGCATTTGACTAAATGCTTCCATGGTCCCAACCTAACAAAGCTGAAAAGCAAGCCTGGTAAGGATCAAACCTGTTTCCAAATACCTGTGTCCCAGAACAAAGATCAAGGATACTTATAGGGATGCAAAAATATTCACCATCCAACAAGGTAAAATTTACAATGTCTGACATCCAATCAAAGACTGGCCTAAAGACAGGCATGAAAAACAGCAGGAAAATAACCCATAATAAAGAGAAAAGCCGGCCAAACGTGGTGGCTCACACCTGTTATCCCAGTACTTGGAAGGCCGAGGTGGGCAGATCACCTGAGGTCAGGAGTTCGAGACCAGCCCGGCCAACATGGTGAAACTCTGTCTCTACTGAAAATAAAAAATTAGCTGGGTGTGGTGGCTTGCACCTGTAATCCCAGCTGCTCAGGAGGGGAGGCTGAAGCAGAAGAAATGCTTGAACCCAGGAGGTGACTCTGGAGCAAGAGTCCATCTCAAAAAAAAAAAGAGAGAGAAAAGCCAATTGGAATCAGCTCCAAATGACACAGACAATGAAGAGTACTAGAAATGGCAACTGATGGTATATATATGAAAGACTTTTTTTCTTATTATTTTAATCTCCTTTAAAGATAATTGGCTTTATAGAATAATGGCAACAGTACATTAATGCATTTTCATAAATCCCTGAACATGCACCTGGATGCTTTCCATGCCTCAGATGATTTGTGCATTTGATTTTTTTGCTGAATAAATCTGTACTTTTAGCATATACCAGAAGTAATAAAGGGGGTTCAATTTGTTAAACACACTCACAGACACACACAATAATAATGATGATAATAATAATGCCTATGTATCTAGATTTTATGGCCACCCTGTATAATAGGCCTGGATCACAAGCCAGGGGCCATGGGTGATTGCTATAGGAATGGCGTGATTGAAAACCAGATGTAAACTACGTGGAATGGGTATGAGGTGAATCCTTGAAACAGAAAGATGTTCTTCAGAAAAAAAGGAACAGATATGCAAAAAGAGACTGGATCGCCAATTAAGTGATGTAAAAAAGATTCCATGCATCAAGTGAAAGTCATGTACATACTTCTCAGCTGCTTTCCAACTCTAGGAGTCTACAGCTCAATGACACAGTCTATTACCAACTCAGAGCAGTTCCGCATAGAGGAAAAACTGTCCTTATAAAAGGTAGGTGGGTTGTAGCCAACAAAACTAGTCAAGAGAAATCAATTAGAGGAATAATAATTGGAAAAGAAGAAGGAAAATGATGTTTGCACATGAGAAAAGACAACACCTGAAAAACCTGAATCAATAACACTAATCCAAACAAAAGAATTCAGTGAGATGGATATAAATTTAATACATAGAAATCAATATACACAAAGCATGATCGATTAGAAGATATGTTGATAGTGAAAAACCTCATTTACAATAGCAACAAAGAAAATAAAATGCAGTTGATTCTCACTATTCATGTAGTTACATTCTGTAAAGTTGCATCTAACACTGAATACTGAATCATTGCTCTTAGGGGACATACAAGATTAGGTTCCTGCAGGCCTCTGGTCACCATATTTTCATCAACTAATCAATACATAACTTTGTTTTATGTGTGTTTCTGTTCAAAGATATCTTAATATATGTTGCTGACTCACTAACATACTCATGCCCAACCCTATAAGCATGTTTACAGTAGGAGAGCTAAAACAAGAAGGCAGTAGGTGACTCAGATTTTTTCACTTCTGTGAGCATGCACCTGTCTGCAAACATGCTTTGAGCATTGGTTTTGGGGTTACAACTAAGTTTTAGCAGTGATACGGTTTGGATTCGTGTCCCGGCCCAAATCACATGTCAAATTATAAACCCTTGCTGGGCATGGGGGCTCATGCCTGTAATTCCAGCACTTTGGGAGGCCAAGACTGGTGGATCATTTGAGCTCAGGAGTTAAACGCCAGCCTGGGCAACATGGCAAAACTCTTTCTCTACAAAAAATTAGCTGGGTATGTTGGCACGTGCCTGTAGTCCCAGCTCCTTGAGGGTGCTGAAGTGGGAGAATCGCTTGAACCCGTTAGGCAGAGGTTTCAGTGAGCTGAGATCATGTCACTGTACTCCAGCATGGGCAATGGAGCAAGACTCTGTCTCAAAAAGAAAAAAAAATTGTAATCTGCAATGTTTGAGGAGGGCCTGGTGGGAGGGTGATTAAATCATGGGGATGGAGTTCTCATGAATGGTTTAGCACCATCCCTCCTGAGTACTGTATAGTGACTAAGTTCTCATGAGATCTGGTTGTCTAAAAGTGTGTAGCACCTCCCCTCCCCTCTCTTTCTCCTGCTCTGGCATCATAAGTACTGGCTCTTTCTTCACCTTCTGCCGTAATTGGAAGCTTCCTGAGGCCTCCCCAAAAGCAGATGCTACCATGCTTCCTGTACAGCCTGCAGAACCATGATCCAATTAAACCTCTTTTCTTTATAAATTATCCAGTCTCCAATATTTCTTTGTAGCAATGTGAGAATGGACTAATACCAGCAGGTAGGTGAATTCACAAATATGGAATCTGTAAATAATGAGCATGGACTGTACCTAGAATAAACTTAACAAGAAATGTGCAAAACCAATGCATGAAAAACTTTGAAACACTCTTGAAAGATACAAAAGTAGACTGGAACATCCCTTGTTTTAGATAGGATGACTGAACATCGTGAAGATGATAGTTCTCCCTGAGTTCATGTATTACTATAACACAATCCAAGTAAAAACAACAGAAAACGTTTTATGAGGCTTGAAAAATTTATAGTAAAGTGGTAAACCAAAAATAAAATTATAAGCCCCCAACCATCTTTACGGCCTTCCTCTTAGGCCAGGGCACTCTAAAGTTTAACCTGAAAGACTGGTTCAGGCCCTGAGGGGAAGTGGGGGTTGAACATGCCTCATTATACCCTCTAGCATTAACATCAACACAGACCTTAAGCCTGATAAGAAACATTTACAATCTATTCTCTCTGAAACCTAGTACCTGGAGGCTTCATCAGCATGATAAAACTTGGGTCTCAACAACCTTTTATTGTAACCCACACATTCCATTCCCTTGATGATAACTCTTTCAACCAATTGCCAATCAGAAAATTTTTAAATCTACCTGTAACCTGGAAACTTCCCACTTTGAATTGTCCCACCTTTCCAGACTGAACCATTGTATATCTTAAAGGTATTTAATTGATGGATACAAACAGTCAGCCCTCCATCTTTATGGGTTCCACATGCCATGAATACTGTAATTTTCAATCCACAGTTGGTTGAATCCACAGATGCAGAACCTGAGGATACAGACGGCTGACCATATTTGGAAATGTTGTATATTATAAAGGTGGCATCTCAAATCACTGAAACTTTAATAATAAGTGCTGGGACAATGGATAGGCATTGGAAAACAATAA